AAATCTCTTCCATTTTGTGCGAAGGGATACTAAGATTTATGTTTGTTTCGAAATTGAGGGAGAAATTAACAAAAAAGGGCAGTAGTAATCTCTGGTCCTTTATGGGCAAAGATATACCATCCAATTTGTTCCATTCATAACACTACCCTACTAACAGAATGATATATGTAAATATTCCCTGGCATAATACAGCGGAATAATGATAAATTTCAATGCTATGGATAAAATATATGTTAAAATAGTATGAAACTTTGTATCAGTATTTTATGCAATAGATAGTACTAATATTCAAAGTAACGCTTAACATAATTAAAAATCTATGCAGAATTAAATAAAATTTAAATTAAATTCGAACTAACTTTCGTGAAGTTTTCTCCAATGCGTGTGTGCACGTGCATATCCGAAACAATATGAATTTTAAAATAATTTCGACTTTGAATTCAAGTTAACTTTTTCATTATTTGAATTTCCGATTTTGTAAATATCATACTAAATTTTTAATATCATTCCACATTTAATGTTCAAAACTTTTACGAAATTATGAAAAAATCGAAAATTCAATCACTCGGAAATAATTGTCATAATCGATAATTAATTTCTTTGTAAAGGTTATAGATGTTACTTTTTAAAGTTGTTTGAAACAAATATAAAAAGTATTTACAAAACGTTGTGATAAAGGTTAATTGAAATTGTTCGAAATTAATTTCAAGTAAAAATCAGTTCTAAAGTTGATTCACTTATAAGAATTAAAATTTTAAATAATTTTTCTGAATTAATACATGTTCGACCTAATATCAATTCTGCTAAAACATTGATAGCAAACTATTATTAACTATATTCCTATATTAGTTACAAAATATATTTTTCTACTGTTCTAAAGTTTGTCATCTGCCTTTTCTACCACATAGACTTTAAAAACGTAAAAAGGACAATACATCCTATGAAACAAATAAATAACATATACTTAAAAATTATATTCAGGTATCATGAACGTATCGAGTGGGGAAGAAAAAACTCTACTAAGCACTATTCTTCAAAGAAAAGAAAACTGAGTCGGATTCGTTCTGCCAAAAAGTGCCTCATACATGAGGTAGTGTAAGCTAAAATAGAAGGGCATGGAGGAAGAAGAATGCAGACGGTTGACGATTTACGTGAAAATAAATAAATAAATAAATAAATAAATCAATAAATAAATAAATAAATAAATCAATAAATACGTGAGAAGAGGAAATACAGGGAATTGAAAGCCAATGAAGTAGATATTTGGAAAGAAAAATACATAAAAAATGTATAAAAGGGGTGGGGGATAGGGGTAATAAAACTGATGGACAAGGAAGGGAAAGGCGAGGAAGGAAAAGGACGAGGAAAGAGGAACAAATTACAAAAAACGATATGCAATTGTTTGACGTTGAAAATATTTAAGACATCGCATTGAAAACTGTCATCTGCCAAAAATTTTTATTTACTTATGAGCCTACTAGACAATATTAGAATTACATTGATTTGTGGTGGTTCTCACACCATAGATCTGCGGTATAGCCCTTCGGGCGGACTACCATTCATTATTTATTACCATTATTATCAAAAACAAATAAAAAAGCTCAAACTAATAAAGTTAACGATAAAAAAACGTTTATTATGAATATTGATATATGATCAATCTACTAAAGATTGATATCAATTAATTGCGACATCGTAAGAATTAGGAAGATTCATGGTTGGTATACATCTTTTGTCTTCTACTTTAAGAAAGTATAATTAAAAAAATTATTAAATTTATTAATTAATTGATTTAAATTAATTATAATTGAACATTTTTACCCTCCGACCATTAGGCCCATTTTCAGGCAGCGTTAATTTTGATGCTTTAGATTTGATTATTAGTCTCTGTCAATACAAGAGTCAACATCAAATTCAGAAGAAAAGTGAAGAAGAAGCTGCCCAAAGATAATATGGAGGAACGTTAAAACTACAACAACCTTATATGAACAGAATAGTAGAATCACTTATTGAAGTGATTCTCTAACAATATAATTTTTTTCAGGTTAATTTATATGTGTGTTTGAAAGTGTGTGTGTATGTGTGCAAGTGAATGGCATGAACAAATAGGTCATAGAATTGTCATGTATTCTATTGCTATTGAAAATAAAATAAAAAAAAATCTGAGTTATTCAAATAACATATTAAAAAAATACAGAAGAAATAAATTTCTGACAAAAGAGAATGAATAGTCCACGAATTTGAAAAATTTTCATCAGGTAATTTAAAGCAACAATTCCTTCAGGACGCAATAGACGAAAATGTTATCACCAAACTCATTGCTGATTGATACAATTGGAATAGCTACAATTTTATCGTCAATATAATCTCAAAAGCAATTTGATCCTATCTTACATAAGTATATTTGTTTAGCTAACATTAAATACATCTTGTATAACTTACCAATAACAGTGATCAATATCATAAGACCTAATACGACAGAAGTGACTGTCATCACAATAACTTCGGCAAGCGGCTGGCTGCCATCATTTGGTGTTTCTGCGATAAAACTGCCATTTTGTATCGATAAATTTTGTGCTAATAGTGTATTGTTCGATATTAAGCCATTATCTATGTCGTAATAAGTCGTATTCGGCAGCGAGCCGATTCCCAGGGCCCGCAATAAGGATTCGGGACCTCCGCCTCCGCCTTCGATGAAGAAGTAGTCGTAACCATCTGCATAATAATGAATAAAATTAGAATTTGAAATCATGATATGGAGAAGTTGCAAAATGCAAATATTCAAAGGAAGGTTAAAGGAATGAATCGCTGTTTCTTCGTATTTTGCATTTATTGAATTCAGGGAAAAGTTACTTCAATTAAGTTTTGTTGTTCATGAATAGAATATTTAGTTTGTAAGTGGAGTATTTTCTTATATAATTATATTTTCCTTCAATTATTCATCGAAGGAATGAATACATCAAATTAACTGAGATTTTGCAGAACTTAATAGCTATATTTATAATATATCTAACAAAAGCATTATAAGCAATTATAGTTCAGCTTGCACTTTTGCATGGTGATGGAGATATAAAATTATTAATGTTTCGATTTGGGGCAAGAAATTGACCACCTAGCTCCAAGGTTTAATACTTATTGTTCTATTAAACATATTGAAAAAAAAATATACATAAATTAAATCTGTTTAAATAAATTTCAATTCTGTTACCTTGATCACTCTCAAACTTTAACGACAAAATATATTATTCCTAGGTCTGGTTTTGCCAAAAACTCAAATAAATCAAATGTTTAATATTGTTTGTTTTACGCTGGAGGAATTTGGTTCGAATCACTAGCAATACCAGAATTAAAAATATAAAGTAATAATCTAGATTAAGAATTGTTAATTTGTAGAATACAAAAAAAAATTGTATTAGAAGTAAAAAGGAAAAAAAGAAGTTTAGTTTAGAAGATGAGAAGAACATAAGAAAATTGAATGTAATATTAGGAGATATAGAAGAGATAGTATATATATGACAAATGTATAAGAAATACATATGTAAGAATTGTATACAATATGCTGAAAAATAATTTGAATAATGTAAGTGGCTAAAAATGCTGTAAAGCGGAGGCCAATGAAATTTAAAAAAAATATATATATATTGTTTGTTTTTGCATGTTTTGAACCATTCAAATTGGTTGATACGTGCTCCCGAAAACGTTTACAAAAATTGTATCTATCATCCATTTTTTTCTGAAGTATGCTAAAATGTTCAGAAACTCCGAAAGATAAAGATATATAAAAAAATTTCATTTTAGATTTTTTACTAATTATAAATTTGAAAACCTAGATAAAATTGACATGTATAATTATTTTAATAATTTTGCTATAAAAAAGAGAGCCTGCGTGATAGTAATATTTTTCATGTTCACATAGGAACAACACATTATATATTTACACTGTGTTATTTATAAGTCGGAACAATGTCAAAAAATGTAACGACATAATAAGACGTATGATATATTTTTTAGATAAATAAGAAGCTCACGTGGCAATATCTAAAAATATTCAAATATTTTACATAAAACAAGATAATACAAATGTATGGAGGATATTCAAAATATAATAACGCTTGACAAATAATTAAAATATGTGTAAATAATCGATTTAATCAATAAAAATAATTTAATTTATGAGTGATTAAAAGTATTCCGAGTGGATTCATTACACATAATTGAAAGCGAACGAACACGTTAATTAGGAGTATTTTCTAAAAGCAAATTTTCAAAAGTCAACCATTTTTATATTTAAACCAGTTTCCGTATGACTTTAATGGTTTAATATGTACATTAAGACTGGATACTCCATTGTTATACCAAGTAAATCGTCTAATTTTAATTTTAGCAAACGTCAAAAAAACTACTCATTTTCTTAAACTTTGATGAATTTTTAAAATTAAACTACTTGCCGTAAGGCCGTAATATTTCAGTAAGTTCTATAAGACCATGATATATATCGCCAAAAAAAGTTCCATAAAAATAAGGACAATAACATCAAATTGACAGTTTGACCACAGTAATCACATAACATTTTGACAGTTTTTAGTACCATTTTATATGAAAAACGCAGCGTAACATAGGCTTGCCATAACACTGGTCTATTTTAAGGCAGAATTGGCCGGCGAATTTGCGTACTGATTTTGTTTATATATATTTTGGAATGTTAACTTAAAGTGACATAATGAACCGAATACATTAAAATTTACAAACTCATTTAAAAAAATTAAATCACCATACCCATAGTTGAAACAAAAGCAATGGCAAAACCCTTTAATCCCCAACACATCCAAAATCTATGAAAACGTTGAAGTAATGAAGGAAATTTTAATTAAAAATTGTTGTGCCAAGTAATATGCTAAAGTTATGGGACATTTACGTAATATTGTTTACATTTCTGTTTTTTTGCCATATTCATCGGGGTTTGACGTGCTGTGATTTTTTTCATTCTGGATATTGAAAAAATCACTTAAAAATAAATTAGCATACTTTACAAAAATGAATGGGAATTTCAATAAAGCATCAAAGGGGCTTTTTATAAGTGAATGGAGGAACATTAAAAACGCCCTGTCTATATTACTATATTAGTAATAATTTTGGAGTGATATAAAACATAACAATATCCAAATAAATAAATAGATGCATATAAAAATTGAATCTATATATAATTTAGAATAAGGTAAAATTTAAGATTTGCATGTATTCTTTTCTTCATTTATCAACGTATATATTAAATTAGTATTCAACAAATAAAACATTGTTTTGTTTTTAAGTCTACTTGAGATCTGATAATTTTTAATTTGTAAGATGCGAACCAGCTTTCTGTTTTGATACCATAAATAATTATAAAGAAAGTTCATAATACAATTTCCAATTTCAAAGTAGCTTCTGAGAAAAAAGAGGTTTGGATTATATTTTAAAAAGTTAAGAAAAAGTTTGTACAGGTATAGGTTACATGATGCACAGAAAGTAACTCAAATTGAAGAAGAGTATGAAATATGAATATGAAATTACATTTTCAGTTATAATTTTTTACATTAGTCACAACAATTTTTCAAATAATAAAAATCGCTAAACAAAATCGATGAATGCAAATTTCTGAACATGAAATTTTAAATAAATACTAAGAAATGCTTTTGTTTGAAGTATTTAATTTTCTTGGAACTTCATTATTTTATTATTTTTATTTTTATTAAGACTTTATGAAGAATTATTTGCGCAACTTTTAGTTTTACGAATCACAAATTGATGAAATTATTAACACAATAATAAATTATTAATGTAACTCTTCTATAAATTTCATATTTCAAGAATACTTGATGTAGATAATAATTATAAAAAAGTTTGTGTAATCCAAATTAAATCCTAATATCGTTCATTTTTCGTTATGTACCATAAATAGACTTCTATTGTAATTAAAAATAATTGAATAAAATGCTTTGAAAATTCAATGAAAATATTAGAAATGATTGAATAACTAGTGGGGTGCATGGCATCGTGCCTTAAGGCAAATTGCTGGAACTTCCCGTACCGTAATTAAAAATCTTGGTACGGAACTTAAAAAAATTTACCCAAAATGTGTACACATTATTAAAATCTCTATAAAATATCTGATAATTTGATGTGCATATGTCCAATAAACATTTTTGACCGCCAGATAACCTTTTTTAACTTATTTTTATTGAGAGTCCATAACCGCTGGACCTGCCTCCCCAAAAATTTAATCAGTTCTTAATCTTGTCAATACAAGTATAAAATGTTTTTTGAATTATTAAAAGCGGACGCTCCGTTCTCTTAAAAATTGAGTTACCGTTTTTGGCACTTTTGCCCTGTATCTTCGAAACGGCTAGACCTGCCTTCGCGAAAAACTAATCAATACGTCTCCTTATCAATACAAATCGAATGTTTTTTGAATTATTCAAATCGGTTGGTCGGCATTCCCGAAATCGTCGACAAAAATTTCGTATCCGCACACACACACACATTCATTTTTTTAAGGTATGTCAAAACATTCAGAAACCTTTCAAACGTAAAGATGTATAAAAATTTTCATTTCAGATTTTTTTGCGATTACTTTCAGTTACCTTACGGGAAGTTAAAAATACTAATATTAGTATGCAAATTTTTCATAATTGTTTTCATTATGTCGGCATTTTAATTATTAAGGATTGAAATAAATGTCGTATTTTTAAATAGACATCAATTGTAATAAAAACATGGTGAAATTGCAAGGTATATATGTATTCTAACAAGTTCGCAAAAGTGAATGCTATAGCATTGATTCATTGTGATGCAGAATGTCGTGGATGCATAAACATTCAAATTGGAAAGTCAATTATTTTGAAATTAATTTTAAATAATCTTACGTTTTTGTAATTATTACTAACTGAGTCTTTAGGTATTCACGTATTATTTTATCTTTTCTTATCTTGTGCAGGTACATTTTGTAAAATAGAAGCTTAATATTCGATGTGGATGCTATAGCGTTCGTTATTATAAAGATAATATGATAATCTGACTATCCTTATAAACGTTTCGGATATCACAATCGATTCACAAATCAAGCGACTGTAAATTTACTTGCTGAAACTATTACTGTCTGCAAACGTATTAAGAATATATGAATCAGAAAAAAATCATAAATTATATATACGGTACTATATCCATCCCAGTGTGCAAACTCACAGAACTACGAGAATAGAAATCTAAGAAATAACGGGTGACTTGACACACAAAATGTACAGTAAGTAAACGGAAGCTTAATGAGCAAATAGAAGTGAATAACAATTCGAAACTTTGCACTACTTTGAAGATTCTAAGATAATCAAACCAATGTTGTAACAAGTGTTTAAATATCAAACATGTCAAACCTTTGAGTACATCCGAGGCGTCGGGTTCATCGTCTGTTTGCCCGAGTTTGGTCCACGCAGTTGATTTTTGCGAGGCCATCACTCGCCTCAACACTGGGTCCCTGGGATGGTCATTGGAACGTCTCGCCTGAAAAAAAAAAAATTAAAACTTTGAAGGAATCGAAAATCGTTAAAGAGCGACCATTTATTAATTTATTCATGAATAGCAATACAGTATTAATCGTTATTTATTGTAGTAACTAAGGTGATCATAATTGTATAAGTTAAAACCGGGATGTCAATAGTTATGCTAATCTGGAACCACGGAGGGGGGGGGGTTAATAACAAACGCTATTTGAAGATACAGTAAAAAAATGTTTTTTATATGAATCAATGTTTTTTCATCAAAAATATTTAAGTAAGAACTTTATTATTCGATTATATGCAATACTTTTTTATCTGTGATATTATATCTTTTTCGCGCTCTTGAGCCTTGTATAATATTTCATTCAATTTTATTCATAAATAATTTGAAAAATTTAGCATTAGTTCATTTTTTTTCATATTTTTAATTTTAATTTACATATTAATTTTCAAAAAATGGGACAATCCGAGACAAAAGATCTATATCCGGAACAAACTGTTTTTAAAAAAACCCGGGACACAAGATAAAAATCCGGATCTGTCCCGACCAAACCGGAACGTATTGCCACCTTAATATTATCACTTCTAAAATTTATCTTCATTTCAACCACTGAATTATAATACTTAGAATACAAATCGTTTTGTATTGCTTAAATTACGTTTCACATATAAACAAATCAATCCTAGTCATATTATAAGACAAAAAATTTGATTATAAAGGGATCAGTTTCTAAACCTTCAACTTTTTTCAAAAGACGTCCTCCTAGTAGAATTTTAATCTACTCCCAACTACAGATTAGAAAATTGAGTAATCGTTTTAAAGCCCAAAGTTTTTACGATATTTCTGAACTTGCTAAATTTAGTATCAAACAATATTTTGCTAATGAAATGCCTAGAAGTAATATCTGGTACAAAATTTTTCTCGATATTTCCAATTATTCTTTTCTTTTCACCAATTTCTTCTAATTTTTCGTTCAAAATTATTTTAACATATCCTTACTAAATTTTTTATCATTTTAATGATTTTTATATTTTATTCTGTTCTTGATACTGCCCTTATTTATCATTATCAGATTTGGAACTTTAAATTAGACAAGAGATATTTGAAAGATTTTTTATTATCAGAAGAATCGCAAGGCATCTATTTATTTTGAATAGTGAACATTTTATTATCATGCTTTAAACGCAAATTATCGTAAGTATTCTCCATTCAAGTTATTATTGAATTACATAATATTAGTGTAAGGCTCAATATTGTTTTAGCTTTGTATTTTACTGTAATTAATTTATTTGAGATAATTTGTTCTCTGTAAATAGTGATTTTAAAAGATTTTAAATAGACGTAAAGAACACCATATAATATATCCTCGCATTACTTTTATTGAATAAAGTTTTAAGAAAAATAAGTTACAAACGTTTCGAGGACGTATTTAACTCATCAGTGTAAAATAATAACAAACAATTATAATATTCTATACACGATTGGCAAAAATTAAATCTTATTAACCCGTATTTGAGAATCAAGGATCTAATATGAAAATATGAAAAATATTAAATTGAATGAAATAAGTTAAAGTACTAGTTTAAATAAATATTATTCGAAAAACGTTATGAAGTTTTATCAAGATTCATACATAAATCATGTACACATAGTACGTTTAAATAAGGCCTTTTCGGGAAAGAATACTTTGGGATTATTGAAATCTAAACTATGGGTATTAATGTTAGTATGGTCATGGTCAAATTTATAACTGTCTGGTTTTTTGAATTGTAATTCAACGGCCAATTTCCGATTGGCTATCTTATAAAAATAAGAAACTTTCTTCCAACCAAATAAAAATAAGGCATCTGCTTTCAAACTTATAAAAGCAGTCAACATATTCTAACCTAATAAAATTAAGGCACATGATTTCAACCATAGATAACGAACTTCCAACCTAATAAAATTAAGCTACTTGCTTCCAACCTAGCAAAATTAAGGCACTTTCTACACACCTAATAAAATTAGGTCACTTGCTTCCAACCTATTGAAATAGGCCACTAGCTTACAACCTAGTGAAATTAAGGCGCATTCTACCAACCTAAAATAATTAGGTCACTTGCTTCCAATCTGATAAAATTAAGCGACTTGATTCAAACCTGATAAAATTAGGCCACTTGCTTCCAACCTGATATACCCAAGGCACTTGTTTCCAACCTGATATACCCAAGGCACTCACTTCATAAAAATAAGTCGAAGCAATATGTTATAATAAAGAGATATGCAATCAGTAATGAGATATATGCATAAGTATAATATTATGTAAATCCAGATAAAAAATATCTGAAGCTTTCAAATCAAATTTTTCAGTTAATTATAAATCTTAATTACTGGACAGCTTGTTATCTCTTCAAATTGCGTTAAAAACTAAACCTGTAAACAACGCCCATTTGTACAAACCATCTCTACTAATCCAATGTAAAAGCAATTAAAACTGAAACTAATATGTCATGCAAATTCTCATCTAACTTTTGAAGCTGTAATTTCAGCGACAAAATACCATGAAAAATAATTAAAAACTGTGAAGTTCTTTGATATACATTTTTATAAAAAATATTTTCAAATCTATGAAAGCAGGACATCCCTTAATAAGATAAAACAAGTATATTTTGCTTCAATGAACACATCGTGCTTTTGTGCAAACATTGTTTTTGATATAATTAAATACTTTTCAAGCTAAATTGAAAATAAAGCGATGAAAATTGTTACGAAAATACAGATTCACCCTTTCGACTCGGATGCCGCCGCTCCGGCGGCAAAATTCATATAAATCTCGGAATTCGCGAGTGGAAAGTGTTAATTTATTTTGTGGTAACTTAATCTATGTGTTTAAAAAATAATTCAGAAAATTAGTAATACATGTTGAACATTTTAAATTGAATTTAATATTAGCTAAAAAATCATTATATAAAAAAGTGCATAACTATACGTTGTAATATTTGCAATACATAAATCCTATTACCTATTTGGTTATGATAAAGGCACGGTAATTATAGGAACAACATAGAAACGTACTGCAGATAAATCTTTAAAAGTTTCATCGCGGATGATCTAAATTACAAGTTGAGCACTTTAGTTAGCAAAATTGTTTGTTTTCGAACCCTTGTGGTCATTAATCATTCACCCCATACTTATTAAAACTCATCCGAAATAAACTCGATAAGAGTAGGAATAATATTTATTAACTTCCTGATAAAACAAGTTATTAACTTCCCCTTGGAATAATTTAATGAAATTCACAAATAATGATTTTCATATAGATATTATAATTATTTTATTACCATGTCTTAATATAGAACAAAATGTGCATCATTCAGCAGAAAAAAAAATACATAAAACAGGTAATTTAAAAAAAGCAAAAGCATTTTAACCCAAAATTTATATAAATATTAGGTTAGAATAGAATATGAGTATGGATTAAATTAAATTTAGTTTAAATATAAGGCACAATTTGATTTCGTAATAAATTCATGTTATTTACGATTCTCCCAAAAAAATGGAACAAAATGTTTTCAAATAGATTATTATAAATAAACACTGTAACACTATATAATATTTAAAAGAATTATATATACTGAATTGAAAAGTTGAAATTATTTGTTCAAAGTATATTAGAACTATAATTAGAATTAGAAATAAAATTTGAATTATTTTCGATATAAAAAAATGAATTTAAAATATATATATATATATATATATATATATATATATATAAACAAAACATTTTTTTCCAAAAGCAATTATTTTGTTAAAACAAGCAGAAAGTTCTTTGAATCATTCAAATCGGACGCTTAGTTCTCTCAAAAACTGCCATTTTTTGCACATTTAGCTCTGCATCTCCAAAATCGCTGGACCTGCCTTTGACAAAAATTAATCACCACTTCTTCCAGTCATTACGAATTGAATGTTTTTTATATCTTTCAAATTGGATACTTCGTTCTCTCAAAAACTCGATTTCTATTTTCTTCACCGTTTGCTCCGTATCCCCGTAACGACTGGACCTGACTTTGCCAAAAACTAATCAAAACATCTCCCTATCAAAACAAATCGAATGCTTTATAAACCTTTCAAATCGGTTGATCCGTGCGCCCGAAAACGTGGACGAAAAATTGCAGACACACATCCATTTTTTTCTGAGGTATGCCAAAATGTTCAGAAAGCTCTAAAACGTGAAGATATGCAAAAATTTTCATTTTCGATTTTTGGTCAATTACTATAACTTACCCTTATAAATTTGTTTCTAGATCTATTGGACAATTTTTGCATACATTTATTAAAAATATTCGACAAAAATAAATTGCGTTGATTTATTTTGTGCTAATTATAGTTCATAAACACATATTTAAATGCATAATATACATGTAAAAGATATAAATTAGTTAATCGAGCTACTAAATATTAAAATACTGATTTATTACATTAGGTTGCAGTAGTTTTTGAATAATTAGTTTTGCGTATCCGATTTTGCTTTTGATCACAAACCGTGATATCTACATATAGCTTTATGGATGATCAACCAAATATTTATTATTCATGGACCAGTTATGAATAAATAAATGTTGATAAATGCGCTGTCATCGCTCAAACTAATTTTGTTATAAAAGGTAATAAAACATCTCTGGTAAAGATATAACAATATATGAAGCTATAATATTTTTAAAATAATTTTATTTTATAAAAGCAAGAAAATGAGTTGCAGTTCTTAAACAATTAATTCCTAAGATATTTTAATATGATACTCTTAATTTAGTAACATTTATTTTAAAATGTTTCGTTCACAATATACTTATATTCTTCTATGCTACTTATTACCAAGCATTAACCAGAATTCTTTTCCCATGAAAGGAAATTTAATTTCATGAGGGATATGGATATCCGATTACTCCAACAACAAATTACATGAATAAAAAAATAATAAAGTATCAAAAGGAAATTCAATAACGTACTTTGAGGTATAGTTGAGA